CTTGGAAGAGGGTGGAACGAAATCTTTAGGGTAAACCCTAATAATTTCGTCCATAGGGGCTTGGATAAGGCCCTTGGGTTTGCTTAGGCCCTTAAGCAAAGGATAACTAGGGTTTCCTTAAATCCTAGATCCCTCAGCTATATAAGGAGCCTCTGGTTCATGTTTTTTGGTCACTCTTTCTTTTGAAGAAACATAGGCCAGAGATTTTGCATACTCCCTCTCTCCTCTCTCTTCTTCTACTTTCCTTCTTGCTAGTCATTGGGTATGATTCCATTAGAGGCATTACACTTGTGGTGCTAAAGCTTCCAAGAAGATCAAGATCAAGATCAAGGGAATATCAATTGTTTGCTATAACAATTGAAAGGTATGTAAACCCTAAACCCTAGTTTACTATTTTCGAAAATAGCCTCTCTCCTCTAGGGTTCTTGTTTTGCATTCAAAGTTATATGTTCAATAGTTAAAACATAGATCCAAAGTAGGTTGCATGTGAACTTAGGAATTGTTTTTCTAGTTTATTTGTTTTACCTAAAACCCATCAGGTTCAACATGCACCGTTGACCTTGATCGTTGACTTTGACTTTGACCATGGTTGACCAAGTTGGACTTTTGAGGGCATTTTGGGTATTTCGAGATTTTAATGGAATTGGTTACATGATGGTTGTAGGCATCTGAGTCGGGAGCTGAGGTTCAGAGTTAGATCTTATCAGTTCAGCTACTTGTGAGGTGAGTCTTCCTCAGTATACTTTCGGGTCGAAGGTACCAAGGCCGACCCATTGGTTGATAACCATATATTTGTTGATATGCTGAGTGTGGAATAGATATCCATGCTAGAATTGATATGCTAGTCTGGTAAATCTGCAGGACTACCTTTGATGCTGTCTGTTTATCGGGAAGGGCATGCCAGACTCGTACTGAGGGATTAGCGGTATTCAGTCCAAGGACTGATCAGGCCGGGGAGCAAGCCAGACATAAGCTGTGGGCCGAGAGCAAGCCATCCTTATGCTGTGGGCTCAGGGGCAAGGTTGTAGAACTCGTTACTCGGTACCTGTTCGACCGACTACTGAGTAGCGAGTACTCAGGAGTACTCGGATTCGGTAATTCATGTAGAAATATTTTTAGGGAGCTTATATATGTCAAAATCATAAGTTAAAATCTTAAGTTGATTGAAATATATAACAAAATTAGATACATGTGAATACACAAAAACTGAAAAACACATTAATGGTCTCACTTCATGAATAATTACTGAAAATTTAAGATATATATGTAGTATAATCACATGTATGTGTGTTAAATAATAAATCGTTAAGTTATATAACATATTATTCACGAGTTGACCGGGTTTAACAACACTGCTCAGTTCAGTAAGGGGTCGATTGGGGAGTACTCGGGATTCTGTAACTCGCCTCGGTAAGGGGCCGAGTAGCGAGTACTCGGATGAGTAATCGGCCAACTCGGCGAGTTTTACAACACTGCTCAGGGGTAATCCAATCGGTTAAGCAGTTGACCCATTGCATGTTGCTATTATATTTTATGCTATTTGTTATGTATTAGTATTCTGGGGGAACTCACTAGCTTGGGCTTACAGTTTTAGATTATGTTTCAGGTACTTCAGAGGATCGCGGGAAGGCGAAGGCATGATCGTGCACACTCTCATAGTTTGTTTTTTACGATGTTTGGGGATTTCTCTGATGTGAAACTTATTTTGAAAACAATTTGTAAACAATGATGGTTGTGGGTTTATTTTAAAAGTTTAACATTTTCAAGAATTTTACTAATGTTACAGCCTCGTGAATGAGGCATACTTGCGATTCAACTGACCCATGTTATACATATAGTACTAAACTTTTAATATATATAAGTATATGGGTGTATTTTAAACATTTAAAATTAAAGTTTAGAATTTTATATTAAAGATTTTAAAAATAATCTTTTTAATTAATCAAATAATTAAATTTAATTAAATCATGAGGATAATTCAAAGATTATAGATATTAGGAGATATATTACTAATTTAAATATTCAGATTTTATCCAATTAAAACAATATCTTTAAATGTAATTATCCTAATCAAAAATCTTAATTATCTTAAAATTTTCACTGAACAGGAGGTTCCCCACGACGTGGCAGATAAATCTCCACGTCGTGGCAAGAAGAAAAAGAACACGGATTAGACATTTGCCACGACGTGGCAGAAGAGCCCCACACCGTGGCGCCGAGACATAATGATGATTCAGTGATTTCTCCAATTGTTCAAGTTCAATTTATGCACATTCAATTGTTAGACAACCTAATGCTCTGATACCACTGATGGTGTTCTCATGTAATAATGCGAAAAATACCTTAAACTATTAAGGGTACATGCAACCTAATTTGATCTATGTCATAACTCTATTGAAGCAACATACGATTAAACAACAAACTATACCCTAATTGAAATCGAAAATTCACAAGGATAATAACATACATCTGATTTATTATTGTAAACAAAACCCTTTGATCCAACTAGATCAATCCAATAGTCTCTTGAAAACTAGCTTAAGTTGTATGCAAGCCTCTAATGGTTCAGAACCACAACACAAGAACCCTAAAAGATTTAAGAGAGAGGGAAGAGATAGGCAATTTCCAGCTTTGGTATGTCTGATTGCATTGGCCGAAAATTCCCAAGTATTAGACCCTATTTATAGCTGATTAGGAAACACCTAGAAACCCTAATTTAAACATAAAATGATATTATTTCAAATAAGGTATTTATCTAGTTCCTTGATTATCTACATAAAGGCTTCCAGAAGGCTCCAAGAGGAGCCTCCAAACCGTCCAACAGGAGAAGGTTCTGGAACTTGTCCTCTGTTCAACTTTTGAACAATTACAACTATAATTCTTCAACTTTTAATTAATTCTAATTAACCCAGAATTAATTTCAAATTAATTCTGATTAATTCTAAATTAATTATAACTATTTCTAATTAATATATTAGTCATATCTCTCTTAAAATCAAACTAAGCAATTTCTTGGTTATGAGTGCAACCAAAAAATGGTTTTACTTTTATTCATCAACATTTATACCAATTTACACCTTAATCCAATATAAAGAGGGTAGGAGAGCAGGATGTAAAAGGATAATTAACCTGAATGGTTGTTTCATAATCTTTTTTTTTTTTTTTTTGCCAAGGTAACTTACTTTGTTTTGTAGGTAGGCCTTGGATGTTTAGTTTAGGTGGGATTAGAAAAAGATAACTTAGAGTTGAAAAGAAAAGTGATTAGTTCTCCGCCTTATCGCAGGTTTTGGACGGTTTTTGCCTAATCTAGACCAAATTCCTTATATTTAAATTTAAAGGGAATACATCTCTAATGTTGTAAACATTTACCACCAAATGAATATAAAAAACACTCCATTTCATATCCATATTTGCAATAATAGTAATGTTTGGTAAGGTTATATGCTATAACTTGTTAAGAACACAATAGAGACAATCACCAAAAAGAAACAAGAACAACAAAAGAATGAATACAATGGAATTCAAGCACCAAAAATCTTTGAAAAACAACAAAAAGAAAGTAAATTAGCTATTAGAGACGACGACGTCCCCCATTGGAAAAAGAACTTAAATAATTTCATTTCTACTCTCTCCCTTCTTCCCCATATGACCCTAATTATTCAACAACAAAAGAAAAGAAACAAAAAGAACAAATTTGATTACCCTAAAATTTGAAGATGTAAAAAAACATTACCATCAACATCTAACAACAAGAATGCAAGACAATCACGAAAATAACTTATTTCAATGGAAACATAATTTCACGTTTCCAACGGAGGTTTGGAAATTTGATTTTCTTCAATTATACACTGAATTTCAAACTTCAAAAAAAGTAGGAAACTTACTTTTGAGTTATTTCATAATTTGGGTTTTGAAAGCTTCGATTTCTAACGTTCTGGTTCTACCGATTTCTTTCGGCCAGAGGCAGCACACACTTGGTAAATCGAATGAATGCGAAATTTTTTTGTCTCTCTCGTTCTATGATTCGGAAAGCTATATAAGAATTTAATCTAATGAACACCGTAATGTTTATCTACAATTGATATTCATGAGGCCTTCTAAATCTGATGAATATTGACGTAAGGCAATAAATATGATAAGTACATATGATATGTACAAAAAACAACATTTGCCATCTATAGAAAACATATCTACTATCAACCAACTTAAAAGCAAATGCAAAAAAGCAAGGGAACCCCATTAGATATGTGGAACCATGTGGATTTTAATTTTTAAGGCTTGTGATAGATATAGACGTTTTTGTTTATTTATACTTGTTAAAGGAATTTTAATATTGTTAGTAATTACACATATTTTATACAAATATTACATAATGGATGTGATGTGTGCAAGTGTTATTGACCTTATCTTGTTTATAGAATAACAAAAGTGAAGATAAGAGAATTCTAGTTATTTAAAGAATATGCTTAAAGGATAATGGATATTAATTCATCAAAGAAAGTAAATGACTTGTTTTAGAGAGAGATAAAGACATAATAGTAGGTTGTCGGGATAGGAATTTTTTTTTAAAAAAAGTCCAAAAGTAGTTCTTATATATGTATAAATCAGTGGATCTTATCATCAATCATCATTGTTATAATTGTAAATTATGTTTTTTTTTTATCATCACACATAGAGCACTTTGCTGCCACTTTCCATTGTGGTTTCACAGCTCATGATTTTGGCTTATATGTATGTTTATATGTTTCAAGATAAGAACAATTCTAGAAACCACTATTTATATTTGTATATCTTAAAATTAATATCACCTAAAACATTTATATTGATCATTAAAAATGTATATTAGAATATACAATTACACATTGCTCACTTAGAGAAGAAAATATATCTTAGTTTTTTAGTTATAAGATAGATTTTCGGTTAAATCGTAAATATAACCCTTATTAGTTGTGAGCCTTTTCAAATGTTGAATGAAACGAACATTTTTTTTTTCATAAATTTTATGATAAGAACATGAACTCTTAAATTACATATTTCCACACCTTTTGATCTTGAAATACTTGGATCACAAAATCAAAATTAAAAAAGAAAAAAAAGAACACTTACAATTCACATAAACAAGACACAAAGAAAATAAATAACAATTACATGAAACCCAATTCTTTTAAGGGGAATTTGCAAAGATATCTACAAGGCATGAACAGCCATGGATGAACATCTTTCAAGCTCAAGCATTGCTTCTGAAAGAGCCAAGTGCCTTGATTGCGGCGGCTCTCAGTACAAACTGGTGGTAGACGGCGGCGGCCAATGCTCCGATGAATGGTCCCACCCAGAAGATCCACTAAATTTGGAATTAATAATTATATTAATTCGTATAAATAAAAACTAAATTTCAAGAAATTAAGAAAAGAAAAAGCAAAAAATGCATACTTGATCATCCCATGCCTTCGCCTTGTTGTAAATCACGGCGGCGCCAAAACTTCTCGCCGGGTTGATGCCGGTGCCGGTGATCGGAATGGTGGCCAAGTGCACCATGAAAACAGCGAATCCGATGGGAAGTGGTGCCAATACCTTCATATTTCCATTTTTTTGAATTATAATATAATTAGTATCCATCATTGGTGAATTTCTAGTTTTTTAAACTATCGTCGAAGAACAGAGAGATGATAAGGTGCTTACAGGAACATGGGAGTCTCGTGCACTCCTCTTGGGATCGGTGGCAGAGAAGACAGTGTAAACAAGGACGAAGGTTCCGATGATCTCAGCACCGAGTCCGGTGCCCTTATTGTAACCGTCGGCCAATTCGTTGGCACCGCCGCCGTACCGGTCGTAGTATGAGCTCTGAAAAGCTTTCACTAACCCTACACCACAAATTGCTCCCAAACACTGTGCAATCATGTAACCTACAGCCCTAATCAACGACACCTTTCTCGCCAAAAACAATCCGAATGTGACAGCAGGGTTAATGTGTCCTCCTGGCGTATTTTAGCAAGCAGAAGTTAGTTAGCTTCATCTCTCTTGACAAAAATCAAACAGTAGTTCGAAGTGATTTTGCTAAAGTGAAGACGAATTGATGATTGAGAATTTGAGAAATTGAGATTATATATACTTACCGGAGATACCGGCGGTGCAGTAGACGAGGATGAAGATCATGCCACCGAAGGCCCAGGCGATGCCGAGAATTCCAACGCCGCCGCACTGATCGAGGTCCAAAGCAGGATCGGTCTGGCTTTTGTAACCGATGACTGTTAAAACAGTGACGTAGAGGAAGAGGAGAGTGGCGACGAACTCGGCGATGAGTGCTCTGTAGAAGGACCATTTGGTGAGTTCGTCGGCGTCAAAGAAGGGGGCAGGAGGTGGATCGTGGTAGTCCTTGGCGGCGTATTCGCCGCCGCCGCCGTGGTGCTCCGCCACTTCAACGTCTTTAGTCATGGCTTTCAGGTCGAGAGAACTGAGAAGTGATAATGGTTTTGTGAGTGGAGTGTGTTGTGAACGGTGGTATTTATGGAAGGTAGTGAGAGAAAAACCATAGTGATTAAGCTTCCATTATTGATGGTTTAACATAATTTAAGTGCTTTTTAATTAGAAAATTTATATGAAAATTTTCCCTTAATATTTTCTTATTTCCTTGCTTATTATTATTGTAAAATCAGCATTAGACTTTAATTTATCATGAACTTTAGATCTTTATTTATTTGTTTATTTAACTATGCTTATGAATTTTTGATCATTAAAGATAGAGAAAATTAGCTATATTCATTAATTTTTTTCATTTAATATCCAAAATTTTGCAATTAGCCAAAAATAACCAACAAAATTGTAGTTCGTCTAGGTGATTTACTCTCCTGTTGTATGCTCTAAACAAAACTAGTGATTGGTGTTTGGGTGAATATCAAGAACAAAACCGTAAGTGATAGGTGTTATCTACTGTTTCGTACAAATAACATTGTTTCGTTCTTTGCATTTAATTGTTATTTCGTTCGTACTGCCGAATCAACCTAAATAACATACCACATAATAAAATTATATCACTATACATGTTAGAAACAAAATAAATAAATAAATAAATAAACACCGCAAACCGTAGATGAGGTATGTCATCTATGATGTACAAACGCTAGTACACATTTTGTGTATATGCAGATTGTACAATATAGGTGGCATACCGCATCTACGGTTTTGATATTTAATATTTTTTTTTGCAAAAAAAATTATATCTAATAATATTAAATTTCAAGGTAAACGATAGAAAACAAATAAAAAAAACGACGTTTACGAGGAAAAACTAGTTGTTCGGAGCCGCCATTGAGAACATTTCTCTAGCTTCAAACACCAAAAAATGACTTGAATGATATTTTTTGTTAACTTTATATATTATGGACTAATCGACCCTCTCAAACAGTAGTTGAGATCCAAAATCATAGTCCATTAGCCCCGAACTGTAGGTTTTTAGCTTCGAAATTCTCCAAACCATAGGTAATTACGAAGCCGTAGCTTTCCTTATCCGTCTACTGTTTGATTGACTACTTTTAATTAAAGACTAATTATATTAACAAGAAAAGTAATTAAGGAATATGGTTAGTTTTGATTTTTTTTTAAATAATGTTTTTCTTATTAATTGCTAAGCTTTTAAAACTCGATTTTTTTTTCTAAAATTATATATTTTTTAAGGATGAATTATTCAAATAATATTTTATTTTAATAATAATTAACAAAAAATAAGGTTATTTAAAATAAAATATGGATCATATATGATGAAAACCGGGAAAATACCGGCAATAGTAAAAAAATGAGGGATATTTTCAAAATTTAGACATGAAAATGGACATTTTCAGGTATAGACATGGATTCCGCGAAATCTACTGTTCCTCCACGGAATGGCAAAATCGTAATTAAATCAGTGTATTAAAAAAAAAACTCAAGATCAATTTCGCGGAGCTAATTGATCTTCAATTATTTATTTATTTTTTATTTTTTATTATTATTTTTTTTAACGTCGATTCTTCGTGGTTTATATTAATTCCACAACTAATTATTTTTAAGAAAAGATTATGATAGTATGGTAATATTTTCTTGAAAATAATTAGTTGGGGAATGAATATAAACCCCGAAGAATCGATGTGAAAAAAAAAATCTGAAGATCCATTCCTCGGAGCTACCTCCGCGGAATGAATCTTGAGGTTTTTTTTTTTTTTTTTTAATACACTGATTTATTTACGATTTTGCCATTCTGCGGAGCTACAGTAGATACCGCGGAGCTACCTCCGCGGAATCCATGTCTATACCCGGAAACCCAATTTTTTGTGACTAATATTTGAAAATACCCCCTATTTTTTTACAATTGCCGGTATTTTTCCATGAAATCCGTTGTTACTTTGGTTCGCTTTTTTAAAATATGTGCCGCCCATTATTAAGAAAAAACAATTTGTCGTTTTCAAGGCCCCGCAAATTGTGTTAACGGCTCTTTATCAAACATTTTATGGTTTGTGTAGCTACATCAATAACTCGTCTTAAACGATAAAATTAAAAGTTTTACACATCTTTTTTTTTTTAATCGGACTTTTGCATTTGAATATTTTTTTCGTATCATAGCATAATTTTTCCGCATAATAAAACTGATATAAAAAATCACATACCCAAGCCATATTAAAGTTGAGACAATTTAACGTCGGACTTCTTTGTCTAGACTTGTAGACATGATTTTTTTTTTTGAACAGCACAAAATTAACACTAACAATGCTAACGAGATGCTAGGTGGACAAATTACACGAGATTGAGTTTTTTTTTTTAACAACTAAATTTATTTGAACAGATCTAGCAAAAAAGCTATAAAGAAAAAGGATTACAAACGTTACAAATCAAAGGATTTTAAGACCACATTGGTCCAATTAATGCTACTTCGACCATTCCTACTAGAATACCAATCAGAATACATAACAATGTTTTCAAAAATGTTACCTCTCTTCATTTTGGATGATTCGAAAACTACATTATTTGGGTAATTTTAAAGCATCCAAATTGTAGTCAAAACGAGTCACCTCCAAGATCTTCTTTTTTCCAGCAGCCATAGTAACTTTATCCACCGAAGACAACAACTCAGACACATTAATCAAGACATGAAAAGGAATGTCAAGCCATTTTTCAATCCGTGACCAAATCTAAGCAATCACTTCACAAAACAAGAACACGTGATTTGTATATCCAATCTGCAAATCACAAATCGGGCAAAGCAAGGAAGGAATATCAATACATTTCCCACTCAAACTCCACCTGGTAGGAATTCTATTCAACGACATATGCCAAATCAAGACATTAATCTTAATCTAGACAAAAATATTCCAACGAGTATCAATGTTACTCGCTTGAAGGGTGACATCATCAATCTGTTTTCTCGCATTGTTAACCGAGAATCACTATCTCCCTTAAGCTCCCATCTCCACTTATCAGGTCCATCCCTAATAACCACGTCTCTAAGAAAATATTACAAGTTTACAACAAAGAGAAAACAACCTTTTTCAACTTTCAGAGAAAACAACCTAAGAAACTAATCCATAAGCCTGGAACCACTTATTCAAGTCTCCTTCCAAAACCGAGCCATACCACCATTACTTATAATTTTTTGAAAATAAGAATATAGAATAATATGTCTATCATTTAATTTCTCAATCACTCTAACCATATTAGCCCACACTCCTCCTCCTCTCGGCTTCTCAAGAAAAGGGTCAAAACCTCAATGCAACCCATGACTACTCTTAATCACTTTCACCCAAATGGAACCAATATCTGTCAAAAAACGTCATTTCCATTTTAGTAACAAACCGATATTAAAAGCATACAAACTTTCAACTTCCAAACCACCTATAACTTTCGAGCACAAAATAGTTTCTAATTTTATCCAAGAAGTTTTTTGCTCTATATCATCACCTCCCTACAAAAACCAAGGCCGCATTGATTCTAACAATTTACAAACTGTATCTGGGACTTTGAACAAGGACATGAAATAGATACTCAAGCTTCTCATCACTAACTTGATCAAAGTCAATCAACCACCAATAAAAAACATTTTAACTTTCCAACTTGCAAATCTTTTTTTAAACTTTTGAATCACCTTTTTCCAATTGACTTCCAGCCTAGCTGGGAAGAGGTACCGGGTTTAATACCCACGTGGGGTCAGAGGTCGGGAGTTCAATCCCTGCAAAACTCAATTTGGGTGCCTCTTAAACTTGTGCCACATGTGGAGAAATTTTCCCTGGAAACCCCTATGGGGGCTGGGTTTGCCCTGTAAAGGAGCTCGAACCCGGGGTACTCGTTGAAATATGCGAGTAGGCTTCCGTTTAATCATTTGCCGTTTCCAAAAAAAAAAAAAAAATCTACCCTCCTCATATTCGAACCCACAAGCAAACCCAAATAAGAAAAATATAAATTTTCAACAGCACATCCAGTAAGACCCACCATATTTTGTCAAAAGGTTCGACTTTTGCAAGTTAATTTTCAGCCCATACACTAGCTAAAAATAATTCAAGATGGTGATTGTTGATATTAACGTCATCTCATTCTCCCCAAAACAGCGCATCATCAACATAAAAAAAATGAGATAAAACCACCCCTTCTTCACCAACTGGGGCACCACAAAAATAAATTATGAATTACTGCATCTTCCATAGCTACATGTAACCTTTCCATGGCTATAATAAGCAAAGAAGGAGATAACATATCACACTGTCTGAGACCTCTTTGAAGATCAAATTCCATGAGAAGAACACAAACAAGCTTTTATCCACCCACACCTTTTTTGGTCAAAACCCATTAACTCCATAATTTTCAAATTATATTCCCAACTAACTAAGTCATACGCCTTTTCCAATCCCACTTTAAAGATCATCAATTTTTTTTTCTCTTGTACCAATCAATAACTTCAATGACCATAAGAGGGTCATCTGCAATATGTCTACTTTTTACAAAAGCATATTGCTTCGGGCTAATAACACTATCCATAACATTCATTAGATGATTAGCTAACAATTTTGCAATAATTTTATATTGCACACCTATTAGGATAATAGGTCAATAGGCTTTCACAAACATAGGACTATCTTTTTTCGGTATTAGGGTAAGAAAATAAAAATTGCAACCGGAAGGAATGGCAAAATTATTATTAAAATCCTCAACAAAGCTCTAAATATCAGTTTTCACTAGATCCCAGGAGTGTTTGATAAACCAAACCGAAAACCCATCTGGACCAGGAGCATGATCACTACTAAACGACCACACCGCCTCTTTAACTTCTTCCAAAGTGAACCTCGAACTTAACCCTTATATTTGATCTGATTGCATTTGATTCAAGTTCGAGCTTCGCTGAACAAGATTTGCCCCTTTAAAACACTTGAACTTAACTTTGTAGAATTCAAAAAAAAAATGAAAAATATGATCCTTATACCATCTATGTCAATCAATCCAACTGATTTCAATATACTTTTTAACCAAAAAAATGAGATACATAGCACCTG